TCGAAAACCCGAAAAGAACTGAAATCAACGGAAAATGTGAAACTATATATCAATCAGTTTAGTTTTTTGCGCTGATTCTGACTACTAGAATATTATTGCATAAAAGCTGAGTTTTATGAAGAAAATAGAGAAAAGCAAATCAAATTCTATGTATTTAATACAAAATTCAGAAAAACTGAATTTTCTTAGCAAACAAAAGAAAAGAAGAAAAATGCGATGCATTATACTTATGTGACTGGTGGCATTATGAGCAAAATTAGATAGAATATTTGATTCCATCGCTTATGCAGAAAAACTAAATAGGTTTACAAAAATCGATCTGTATGTATTCCACTTGACCTGATTTGAAGCATCGCCATCAATAAATTGTTGTGGTTAAAGTTGATTTAACAACTTACTTGTATTCAGTTTTTGATGCAGAATCTAAGAAAGAAAAATATTTTGAAAAAGATGTCTTTTTGACCTGAAAAAGAAAGCATTTGCTAACACTAAAAACTAGTTTTTCGTGATTAGCTGCTCAAACTCTTTCAAATCATATTAAAAAAAAGCGAAATAGCATTTACGTGAATTTTGCATTGCCAGCACCTTAATAGTCAGAAAAAATTCTTTCGCTTTTTGCTTGTTTTTAATATTCTGTAATAATAAACGAGCTCATGTTTATATTCAAACGTATCTTACGTATGTAAACTTTACACTTTCTGAATTAGACAAACAAAATAAAACTTTGAAATTTTTTTTCTTCTCTAAATGAAAAATGTTCTCGATTTTAAGTGAAATTTTTCTGGCACAAGAATAAAAAAAGTGACATTACATACCGGATTATGAAACTTTTGAAATATGAGAACTGGAGAAAAATCTTGTTAATGAATTTGAATTTTCATTTGAACAAAAATATCATTTTAATCGAATAGTTTTTCAATAGAACTTTGCTTTCTATTAGAATAGATTGTGAGAAAACGTTTTTTTTTCTGTAAATGTATTATCAAAATTATAAATATGAAATAAATCTTTCTAAAAAGAAATATTTGTCAATTATAAAAAATAATATTTAATATTTTTTATATAAACTAAGAAGCAAAATAAAATGGCATTAAGAAATCAACCATCTACGATAAAAGCAAATAGAACAAATGATCCATCGGATGATATAAATGTATTATTATTAGGACAAACCGGTGTGGGAAAATCAACATTTATAAATGGTTTAGCTAACTATCTTTGTAATGATACATTAGAAGAAGCTGCTAATGATAAAATGCAAGCTGTTATTCCATCTGCATTTTCTTTTACTCATGATGAGACATTTGAAGAAAAAGTGATAAATATTGGACTAATTGATGAGCATGAAAAATTGAATGAAAATGGTCAATCATGTACACAACAATGTCGAAGTTTTGTTTTTCCAGTTGGTGAAAAAAATTTACGAATAATAGATGCACCTGGAATTGGAGATACTCGAGGTCTTGATCAAGATAATAAAAATTTTCATGAAATTTTAACATTTATTTCACAATATGAACATTTAAATGGAATTTGTATTTTACTTAAACCGAATGAAGAACGTTTAACGATACTTTTCAGATTTTGTGTTAATGAACTTCTTAGACATTTACATGAAAGTGCAAAAGAAAATATAATATTTGTTTTTACAAATGCTCGTTCAACTTTTTTTAAACCTGGTGCAACATCAAAAATTCTTCGAGCACTTTTAGATGAACATAAACAAAAACAAAATATTGAAGTGCCTTTTACAAGAGATAATACTTTTTTATTAGATAATGAACCATTTAGATATTTAGCTTTACGTAAAAATGGTATTCAATTAAATACTATATTATTCAAATATAACATTATGTTATATTTATATTATTAATAATTCAAATTTTTGTTTTTTTCAAATACAGTGTATATTGAATTGATTTTCGTTTTTT